GAGGGAAGGTGGGGTCAGGGGCGACAAAGCGGCGGATATGAGGCGTCCGCCAAGAGGTGTGGCCGCCAGGGATGGCAAGCATCCGCCGTGCCGGTAGCAGTCAGGTGTCCCCCTTGGTGTTTTGAGGCGCTGCGTCCCCGTGGCGCGCCCTACCGCGGCAGCCCCTCGGCCAGGGTTGGCTGCTGCGAGCAAACCCTGCTGCCGGAATCTTCAGATTTGGCGGCGCCGCCCCTGACCGCCCACCTGCCGCGCCCTGCAGCGCCCTGAATGCGATGAGTTCGCCGATGGACGGCGCGACCGCGCACACGACGCTCGACGCCACAAACAGCGCCATGGAAGAGAGGTACACCACGCGGCGGCCGAAGCGGTCGCACAGGGGGCCCCAGAACAGCACGGCTCCCCCGACAAAGTACCTGCGGCGACGCGGGTGGGGGTTTTGGAGGTTACACAGATACTTGCAGCGACCGGCCCAGCGGGCGGTCGCGCCCGGGTGGGGGGAGAGGTGTCGTGTGCAGATCAGTAGACTTGCTGCTGCTGCGGGGGCGGCCGCGTTGCTGGGCTGCCAGCTGTTGGCCCAGCATTGTTCAAACTTTCAAGCGCAGGTTGAGGAGCGCAGGGGGGAGCGGCCGCAGGCGGGTGGGGCGGCGCGCACATGTAAATCGAGACGGAAGTGGTGGCCATTTCGATGGTTGTGTTGAGGCTTGAGGCGACGACAGTCAGGGCTGGTAGGTAGATCGTATCACTGAACGGCGCGAGCACCGCCGCGAAGCTGATGGCCAGGAGGATGGTCCACCGCTTGCGGCTCGTGTACATGTCGTAGATCGAGCGCTGCTGCGGGGCCCCGGCCTCGGCGGCGGCGGCAGTGGCAGCGAATTTGCCGCCGAGCGACGAGCCGGATGCGGAGGTGTCATCACTCGCGAGGGGTTTGGTGCCATCGAGCCTGCGCCGTGTTGCACGGGCATGGGGTACGCGCATCACTTAAGCTAGCTGCGGGCGGCTGCGCATGGCGACGGCGCTTGTCGCGCAATTATGATGATGAAGTCAGCTGCGCGGCGATGCGGCGCGCGCTGCACCAGGGCCGGCTGCCGCGCATGCCAAATTTGCAGGCCAAGCTGCTCACCCCGTTTGCTTCTGGAAGCCCTCACCCATCGTTTCAGCTAGCACGTCGCTGGCCGCACCCATAAGCAGCCCCGCGGACACTTGACTTCAGCCGCGGCCGAGGAAATGACGTCGATTCAAGAACGCACGCTACACGCTCGTTTGGCAGAGCTATCCCTGGATAGTCTTATTGTCTGCTCCCAGGCTTGCGCGATTTTATGTGCCTCCGCGCGTGGTCGTGACCACTTCACAAATGTGTCATAACCAGCCCCGCCGGATGAGCGAGGCACCTGCGCATGACCCGCAGTCCCTGGCAATTGCATCGCGAGGCCACGAGCAGGGGTCTGACTTAGTTTCCGGTCACGAGCCTGCTCCATAGACCTGCTGCGCGAGACGTCCCGCCGCGTTTGACTGCAGCTTGCCGCGCACTGCCGCGACTGGTGCGGCGGTGGGGCTGCGTCATGAGTACGACCACGCCCACTGCGTGCAATGTCACCCGTTTGGCATCTGGCTGGGCACGTTCATCCCCCCCCCCCCCGGCCTTAAAGCGAGTGCCAGCGAGTGCGTGCTGGGGCTCCTTCAAGCACCTCAGCGCGGAGGACGTGCCCGTCTGGGGGCTCGCCGAAGCGCTGAGCCTGACAGTTGGACGTGCGCAGCCAAGATGCAGCAGCGGCATGCAGCATGCCCGCCGGCCACTCTTTACTTGTGCAACAAACTGGCGAGGCTGCAGCCCCTCTTGTGAAATGAGCACACGCCTGAAACGCCGCGGCCCTCCAGCCGGATGGGCCAGGGAACATCTTGACGTGAAACTCTGGGCAGCATCTTGGTCAATAGGTTGCACTTCACGCCTTGGTACCTCATCGGTGGTTGCGGTCGGCACCTTCGCGTAGCTAGTGCACCTGCGAGGCTGCCTCAAAGCATTGTTTTGGGTGCTGGGCCGGTGTCCAGCGCCTCTCGCTTCCGCTGCACTATTCCAAATAGCCTGTCACAAACCTTACCACACGGCTATCCTGGGTGCTGGCAGGCACTTGCACATCCCAGGCCAGCTCTGGCGAGTGGTCAACCGTTGGTCAATGGTGGTGACGCTCGTGACGACAGGAAGTCTGTCATCGTGCCATATCGCATGCAGCCTGGCGTCTGTGGAGAAACCGTATGCTTCTTTTCTGTGCGTGTCGTAAGCTACGCGCATCTGGTCCGTGATGCTCAACGGCTGCTTGTCGCTGGGGCGGGGCCGTGCCCCTCTGCACATGCGATGCTCTGGCTGCTGAGCATATGGCGCTCTGAATCAAGTGATGCACCGAAGCGTGGCATCAACGACCGGATCAAGTTTTTCCGCAAGGGCACGAAAAAGGCCGAGATCTTTGGCTGGAAGCTTGCGGGCCTTCGCATCAATAGGGCCAAGGAGCCAAACAAAGAGGCACGCCACATAGCCAAAGAATCATCCGCAGCCTGCTGGAGTCCTCATTGACGCCGTGCTTCCAGCTTACGGTAGCCCCAGCTCAGCAGATCAGCCGAGCCACAGCGGAGATGCAGGGCGCGGTTATGAGGCTGCAGCATTCGAGTGTGCTGCCACGGACGGGTGGATCTCGTGCCCAGCAGCAGCGGCGCGTCCTCGCCGGCGCGGCACGCACGCAGCGGCCAGGGCACCAGCAGCAGGACGCGGCCGGTCACAGCCAGCAGCAGCGCGCCGCGGCGCTCTCGCTCGCCGCGGCGCCCGCGCTCGCCGCGCTGGCTGCACCGCTGGCGGCGCTCGCAGAGGAAGCGGCCGTGGAGGCGGCCGCGGCGCCCGCCGCAGAAGAGGTCAGCCCTGCTTTCTATGCGCTGGCATTCAGCCCCATAGTCATCTACGGCCTCTTCACGGTTTTCAGGGCCAAGGTCAATCCGTGAGCCGCCGCGCCCGCCAACACTGGCTCAACATGCAGTGCACCGCCGGGGGGTTGCTCTCCGCGCCGGCCGCGGCGCGAGGCGCGAGGGCCCCGGCGGGCCCTCTACGGACGCGCAGCGGCGACGTTTGACCGACAGACTAGCGCCAGCGCCTCCCAACGCCACTACACGAGCTCGGCGACCGTCCCCGCCGCGAGCGCACCGCAGCGCCTCGGCCAACGCGCATCCCGGCCGCGGTGCGCGTCGGTGCGCGGCGCCGCGGTCGCTCCCTGCCCCTGGTGACATTCACAATCTATTCATGCCCCCCCCCCTCCCCTCACACCGCAGTAAGGCCAACATTGGCGACCTGCTGTACATCATCGGCGCCGTCGCAGTCTTTGGCAACATCGTGTCCATCCTCATCTTCAAGACCCGCTTCTTCTGATCCTCTGAACCCCTCATCCCCACACCATCCCCGCTGTTGAGTCCTCGAGGCGCCGCTCCGGGCCGCGGGCCATCGCTCCGAGCGGCACAGCTGCGTCCCAGCGGGTGTCTTGCCTTCCCTGTGACCCGTGCTTTTTGCCCCGATGCCGGCACAAGGTGCCTGCGGCCCCAGCGCAGGGCCGTCAAGGACTTGTGACTGCCCTCTGCAATTGCAACACAGCCTGCGCTTTCATGACTCAGCTGGCGCAATCTGCGGATCTGCAATGCAGCCTCTGCTGTTGTAACGCCCGACCCGAGGCTAGGTGGTAAGCCGCAGCTGTTGACAACGGGCGGAGCCGGGGGTTGGATCGCCACTGTAAGCAGCAGCATGGCCTCTCAGCATGAAACTCTGGGCGGTGTACAGCCGCAGTCCTTTACAGGGCAGCTTTTCGCAGCCTCGAAACGACGACTGCTGCCGCCCAAAAGCGGTGCGCCACAGCGAGACAAGTGAGGGGCTGCGCCAGCCAAATCGCACAGCATGGCAAGCGGCCAGCCTCTCACAAATCTCGCGGCAACGCGGCAAGGAGCCAGGGGCGCTGTGCCCCCTGCAGCCTGCCTTCGCCCACGCAGCAGCACGCTGCCAACGGACAGCCGCCTGCCACGCCCCCCGCCCCCGGACCCCATGCGCCGGCCCCCAAGCCGGCAACAAACATGCGGAGGACGCATGCACCCGCACAAAAAGCTGCGGGTGCGCGACGCGCGGGGGCGCCGCGGGGCCGCCACAAGGGGTGCCGCCGACTGCGCTTGCCTCACTCCACCTCCGCCACGATTTTCTTCTTGCGCTCTGGCTTGACTGTGACGGACCCAGGGGCGCTGTGCTTGATGCGGTTGGTGAGCTTCCGCTTGTCGGCGTCCTGCACCTTCCGCCGCGTCTTGGCCGCCTGGGGTTGGGGTGGGAGTGCGGGAGATGGGGCCGGGGCGCGTGCGGGGCGCGGGTTGGTGGGGGTGGGGGTGATGCGGGAGGGGGCGCAGGGCCGGGGTGGGCGGTGGGTGAAAGGAGCGAATGGCACCCTGGACACCACCGCGCAAGCCTCGGCACACGCGAGGTGCCCAACATGATTGAGGCTGTGGCTGGGACAAGCATTGCCGCCGCGGCGGGGGGCTGCGCCCGTCAACCGGGTGGGCTGCGCCCCTCAATCGCGGCGCCAGCTGCTGGCGCTGCAGCAGGGAAGCCCTCTCGCGCCGCTGCGCGTGGGGAGAGGCGGGGCGGCCAACCTCCTCACAGACACGGCAGCAGCCAAGCCTGCAAGTCAGGGTGATGCATCCGCCCAACCCCCGTCGTCGCACCTTGTATATGGCCTTGGGCACGTGCCTGTGCCTGACAATCCGCTTGACCTCTGGCAGGTGCTTGTACCGCTCCACCAGAGCCTTCTGGTACGCCTGCTTGTGCTTCTCCCGCGGCAGCGTCACCCCCAGCTGCTCGGAAGCTTCCGCCTTCCACACGCGCACGTTCATGTCGTCCGACCCCGAGAAGACGTAGGAGCCGTCCCCCGAGAACTTCACCGCGAAGACGCGCTGCATGCGTTTGGTGTGGTAGACGTCGCGGCTGTGGCCGCCGGCGTGGGGGAAGATGCGCACGCTGCGGTCGTAGCTGCCGGCGACGAACTCGCGGCCGGTGGGGGAGTAATCGACGTCGATGACGGCGGAGACAAAGTCCTGTGGGGGTGAGGGGAAGTTGAGAGGGCGCGCAGGGGGGTGAGGTTTGGTTTATGGGTTGGTTTGAGGGGTAGGAGCAGGGGGAGGTTGTGCGTCCGTTTCGTGGCGGGCTGAGGGGGGGCTTTCAAGGTGTTGTTGAACTAAGCTCAGTGCGGCTGCGGCAGGGATGGGGAGGCCAGGCGACCGGCGCATACATCCACACTCATGCACACACGCATGCGCGCACACCGACGAACCCGAAACGTCCACCCCGCTCACCAAACCCACCTCA